GGGAAGAATTAGTCATGGTCTTGCTTTATTTCAAGTCATAAAGGGTTCAGGATGCAGGGAAAGGCCAATTGGTGAGTACCAGGTCAAGTGGGAAGAGGTCTTCTGTCCCAGGTTCCGAGGACTGTGAGCTGTCCAGACATCAGCCCAGCAGAGCTCTCTAAAGTTTGGGGCAATAGTGGCCCGGGGTTACATTTGGAATCTAGATTTGGAAATGGAAGAGGGAACTTCTACTGAAGCCCTTGAAGCCAACTCATGGCTAAGAACCCGTGATTTAGAGGGAATATTCGAGAGTCCATTTTGGTGAGGGATTTTTTTCTTTCCTAACTAGGATTATATTTAAAGAATAACAAAGTGTACGGGCATCCAAAGAGATGTCAATCTCCAAAAAAAATAGTGTTTTAGAGATTTGTTTGAATTCCAACCAGGATTATTTTCAAATTTAGTTTATATAAGATAGTACTAGTATTTTACAGGGAGTTCTTACATTAGACAAGATTAAATACAGGACGATTTTCTCTAACCTGAAAATTGCAATTAGTAAAAGGCAATCAGCAAATCCAGGAGGAAGGAAACTGGAACATGAAGCAAGTGTTTGTCAGAGCAGGGTGAATTGATGGGTATTTGGTGAAGGAAGAAATTGATGACAATAGGATAGGGATTCTAATCCAAGCCAAGTAGATGTGTGGCTAGAAGGGAGAATAACAAGGAAGCAGGAAGGGAGGAATGTGGAAAGGAGATTTCGAGCTGCAAACTGTTGCAGGGCAAGTGACCAATATCATAATTCTTCTAGCTAGCACTTCTGACAGTTATCCTCCTTTCCTTTTTTCTCTCACTGCGAGTGTTTCTTAAAGATTAGGACTGACTTCTGCTCCCACCAGCACTTCCGCACTGCCTCAGGAACATAAAAGGCTCATATGATTTCAATTGCTAGACTATACAGATGAAATTAAGACTTGCATCTCTACCTGGATCTCTTGCTTTTTTCTACTTACGTTTCCCACGGCTAATTACCCTGTTTAAACAAACACAATATTAAATTTGTTTTGTGTCTTCCTAGACATAAAATTCTTTTTCTTCAAAATTAGTTGTAGTTCTCCTCCAGCCAACTCTTCAAGCTCTGATGATTCCAACCCCTCAGTAAACCTCTTGGAGTCACGGTCAAATTATTTCATGGTGCCGGTGTGTTTTCTTTAAGTTTTCTGGTGAGGTCTTCATTTGCACTTTCTGGTATGAGAATTCTCATTTTGGGTAAGTGCTATTCTCATTTTAGAGTTGAAGATGCTAATGGTCAAAGGTCATGGCTTCCAAGTGGCAAAGCCCAAATCTAGCCTCTGGTAGGCTATGTTTCTAGTTGAGACAGAAAGAGGGAAAGTGAGGAAAGACAATGACATCAATCATCCCGAATACTCAAAGGTATTAGAGACCCTTCTTATGAGAAGCTATTTTCGTGTATTTAGATGACTTTCCCTAAAAGCACACAAGATCTTCACTAGCTGAAGTTGGCTGAATGGGAGGATGAGCACTGGTTAAAAACACCCATCAGAACCCAAACTGACTTTTTTTGGGGGGAGGTAGAAAACTAAATCTGGCATCCACCCAGTTATCTAACAGACGTGAATATTTTTCTTGCAAAAAGACATAAGGTTCCGATATAGTTTGGGGAATATATCCAATAATGTAAAGATTATGTAGGGTGCCAGATGAGCACTGGACTTTTTAGGGAAAACACTTCATAGGCTGTGTAGATGCTATACACCTGAAGTTAAAGCTGAATAATATTGAATGTCAACTATAATTAAACATATTTACAGAGGGTGCCAAAATAATGTATACATATTTTAAGAAAGGAAAAAAAGCTGTATTAAAATTGTAATACTCAATGGGGCTGGCCAAGTGGCTCAGTTGGTTAAGAGCTTGCTCAAGAGTGTGAGCTCTGAGCAACAGCGGTTCGAGTCCCGGCCTGAGCTGAGCTGTCACTGCTTGAGCTGCCAACAGACGGCAGGATGGCTTAGCTAAAAAAAAAAAATTGTAATACTCAATATATACCGATAATAAAAGATGAATACAAGTCATGTGTATTTTTTTTTGGAGCCCCCAGTACATATAGTCACAGGATGTGGAGTACAGCATAGGGAATGTAGTCAATGGAATTTTAACAGCTATATACAATGTCAGAGGGATAGTAGATGGGGGAGGGGAATTATCACTTTGTGAGGGGTGTAAATGTCTAACTATTACATTGTTTTGTACATCTGAAACTAAAAAAAAAAAAAAAGACCTGGTTAAAAAAAAAAAAAGGAAGTAAGCTTCCTCGTAGGTCACTGTAAAGAAATCAAGTAAATTTCCAGCAAGGATGTACTCATATATTTGGTAAACTACGAAGTCTGAATCATTTCTTCATTACGGTGTTTGAGATTTCCTACATAGGGTGGCTACACATGTCTTCTGAGAAGATGATGTCTTTCTTGGAAGTAAAATAAATAAGATCCACAGATAGAGACAAGTATGTAGCAGGAAAGGATGATTTTCAGATTCCCTAGAGTGTATTTGTAGTTCTAGGTGAAATTACATCAGGCCCTATGCCTTAACGTGTGAATATTATTTGAGAACTTGCTTCTCAACTGCAATATAAGACAAACCACTTAAAAACATACTCTATTTCCGTTATCTATTGCTACATAACAAGTCATTCCAAAATGCAGTGGCTTAAAACAATGATTTATGATTTCTCATAATTTTGTAGGTTGACTGGGCTCAGCTGCGCAGCTATCCTGTTCTCCTTGGTGCTGGGGACCCTCACTTGGCTACATTCAGCTGGTGGCTGCACTGAATAGGAGGGTCAAAGAAGGCTTTATTCATATGACTGGCCCCTGGGTGCCCCTCCAGTGGCCACTTTCGCTCCATGGGGTATCTTATCATCTGGAAGTCTAGCCTAAGCTGCTTTACTGCATGGTGGCTGGCTTCCCCAGAGAGAGAAAGCAGTTGCCAGGCCTTTCAAGGCCTAGACCCAGAAATGGCACAGTGACACCTCTGATGCAGTCTATTTTTCTAAGGAAGTTACAGGTCGCAAGGTGGGGAGGATGGATGGAGGGCCTTTACCTCTTGATAAAAAGAGAGGCAAAGTATTAACATCATTGCAAAAGGCACACGGGATGGGAGAAATTGTTGCAGTCATTGATGGAAATCAATTACTGTATATTTTCAAACATAAGCACCATTAAAAAATAATGAAAGCAGAAAAGTTAGTTCAAAAGAAAATAAAGAATTGAAACATATTCAAATAATGACCTCATTCATTACTAATTGTTTCTCTCTCCTTTGAGTATTAGTTTAAGTTTGGTCTTGAGCCTTTTTACTTTTTTAAACAGAACAGAAACTATTGTGATAGCCTGGAATTGAAGTTATAAGGAAATTACCTGTGTTGTAGTTTAAGTATTGTAAAATGTTAGAGACATATTTTGATGAATTGAAAGAAAAAGCATCTTACAGCCTCAAAGTAAAGTTGTAAAGATGTTTTCAGGAATAAGCATCTAGCTGGTCAGACTGGAAAAGATTTTGTTAGTTTTTCTATTTGTAAAACTTCCCAACCCAAAGCACAAAAAGGAATAGTTGCCACGTCAGCTGTTCAAACATTCCAACTGATGGGAAATTAAATAACAAGCTCTGGAATTTATATAGCAAGATGACAGTTTTTCTTACCTAAATATAAAGTATTAGACAATGGACCAATAGCTGAGGTAAACAGAAATAAGGAGACAGAAATATTTCTAACTTTTATTAAAATAAGCTAAAGAACATATTTAGGTTAAGTTATATATACAAATATAGTCACCGAAGTATTTAATAAGGTTTTCTAAATATCTTAAGCTAAATTAAAAAAAATCTATTTACATAGTAAACATAATACAATTACAAAGGCTTTGTAGTGAATTGTTTCTAGTAGCATAAATTGCTATTGTGCTAATTATCAAATGCTAATTAACATATAGCTATAATTTCATGTGATTTAAAAATAAACCTGCTTCTATATTAAGATGCTCTAAAATAGTAAGTAGATACACAGTGTCTTCAATGTGACAATATTGAGAAAGATATGGTCAGTGACTAGTGTTTACAACAGAAAATAAATGTTTAGTTTTATAAATACAAGTCATTCCAATTCTCAGCTAGAGTAAATTACAGGTTAAATATAAAGTTGACTGAACCCGAGTCCCTGTTACTGAAATATAAAATGGCTGTAATTCAGATACATTTGCAGAATTCCATTAAATTCTCATTTACTGAAACTACTAAAAGTTTTACTGAAGTTAGAAATGTACTAAATGTTCTTTGCCTTAATGCTTATCTTAAATTAACATTTCACAGCATATCTGTCATTTCCAAGCTAATTAGCTAGATTAAAACACCAAAGAATGATTACATATTATTCTGCATTTTAAAAGCACACTTGTTTTATTTACATTAAAAAAATCTGGTGATAATTAGCTTTAAAATCTATTTTAATTTATAAAAATTTAACCCCTGTTATATGGTTGCCTGCAAACTACTATCTACTTGATAGAACTAGCAGGGAGTAGTTGTGTGTATGTTTATGTGTATGTGAAAGAAATCAAGCAAGAGAGGAGAGGG